ACGTCGTGTGAGCCGCTGCCGGTGCAATCACCTCCGTCAAGCTTCGTCATTTGTGCCGTCGTCGTCGTCTTGTGATCGAGAGAGGATCCGCTAGTGAGATCAAGGCGAAGAGAGGAGAGATCGAGGCGAGATTTGTAGCGACTTGATCGAGTTTTTTCGGCAAGGTGGCGGTCTTCTTCTTACGCGACGTGGTCTTCGAGAGGAGGAGTGACGAGGCAGACTGAGGGAGAAAAAAGGTGTTTCGCGGCGAGTCGATGGCGATTAAAAATGACGGTTCGAGATTTCACCGAGTTGACTCAGTGAGTTGACTCGCGAGTTGACTCGGTGAGTTGATTCGCGAGTTGACTCACGAGTTGACTCGGTCACTAAGTCAACTCGGTTAACAATTTTTTTTTGTTTAAACTCGGCGACTCAGTGACTCAGCAGCTCGACGACTCAGCGATTCGATGATTCGGCGACCCCGTGACTTGACGACTCAGCGATTCGATGATTCAACGGCCCATTGACTTGACTACTCGGCAACGCAGCAACTTGATGATTCAGCGGCCTAATGACTTGACGACTCGGCGACTCAGCGATTCGATGATTCAGTGGCCCAGTGATTTGACTACTCAGCGACAAGGCCGACTTTGTTCCATCAGTAAAACTGACTTGGATCATTGCTCTTTGGTGCGCGGAGAGGTGAATTGAAAGGAATGGTCTCCGATTCCATGGACTCGCAGCTAGACCGTCCGCGCGACAAAGACAGCATGGAGGCTACTTCAGACTTAGAGGACTCCGGAAAAATGGTCGATGATCATTTGCCTCTTGGAAGGAGAATGATTCAATCTCTAGAGTCTAAAACTGGTAGTTCGGTGAGACCGGCTTACTCCAATGCTCTAGTCGCGGTTGATGAGGTTAGCAATGAGATTACGGTGTTACCGGCTGCCAAGAGGCGGAGAGGTCGACGACATCACGAGGTGAATTGCGATGAGGTCTCGCGAACATCGACTTTGACGAGGTGATTGATCGATGACGCCGCGAAGTCGACGAGGTGATTGATCGATGACGTGACGTCGACGAGG